TGGTTCGTTCGGTAGCGGCCATATCGCCTTCCAGAACCTTGACCTCATTGTTGCGATCAATAACCCAGAGGACAATTTTCGCGTGCTGAATGACCTGCTGTAATTGCTCTCTTGTTTGACGAGCCTCTTGACGAGCCAAGACAAGATCGTGGATATCGGTGCATGTGCCGAACCACTTGACTATGCGTCCGGAGTCGTCGTAAAAGGGCAAAGCTCGTCCTAACATCCAGCGCCACTCTCCATCATAGCGCTGGCATCTGTATTCTGTGTTGTATTCTTCGCCTGTCTTGAGAGAGTGGAACCAACGTTGAGCAGTTGCTGACATGTCATCTGGATGGAACGGTAGGCGCCAGCCTTCGCCTATTGATTGCTCGACTGTCAACCCTGTGTAGTCATACCACCGTTGAGAGAACCAGTCGTGAAGCCCATCAGGCGTAGTCGTCCATACCATGACCGGCATGAAGTTTGCAATGTACTCAAACTGCTTCTCGTTCTCTTCAATCTGGGCGGCAATTTGCTTGGTATACTCGGTGATATCCTTGAAGATCACTATACCACCAAGGAAATCCCCAGTCTCTTCGTGGAATACAGGCTCGCCGTTGATCTCATACACAATCCGAGTACCTGTTAGCGGATGGCGCATACCGATGCGCCGTCCTCCGACTCTCTCTCGTGTACGGCAGACCTCAATGATGGGAAACTCATCAAGGTCCAGAAGGCGCTGGAAATCTTCGGTCCAACAGACGAACTGGCTGAGGAACTCTGCCTGGTCTCCGGGCGCATAGGTGGAATCTTTCGAAAGTAGCCGCAGAAGGGCTTTGTTTGGAATTCCGAAACTTTGGTCTTTCCACATTGCTGTAAAAGAGTCAGTTAGGGATTCTCAGATAGCTGTGGAACCATACATACCGTATGCGGGCATGGTAATAGAGTTCAGGATAGCATCCTTGAGTTGTGTTGCCTTTTGGAAAATAGAGGCCGAATTTGCAATGTCGGCCTTGCCCCTAGTAGGAGGACCTCGAGGTGGAAATTCTGGCTGCTGTAGAGTTGGCGTGACGGCTTTCGAAGTCGAATTCGAACTGCTTCCTGAACGCCGGCCTGAGGAAGAGCTCGACGAACCTGAACTTCGTGGTTTGTCAAGGCGAGCTCCCGTGTTTGTACGAGTGACTATACGACTGGAGGGTGGTGGCGCACTCTCAGCAGCTACTGCACTTGTGAAAGTCAGGGTGTAATATTGGTTCTCCTCAATGCTCCAGATGGATATGATGCAAGATGCCATCATTGCGTTTTCGTAATCTTTCTTTCTTTCCGACTTTTGCAACGTGCCGTCGGGATCCAAAGAAAGCGGCGCAATGACCACCTCTACTGATACGTCGCGTACCATTGTTCGCGCAAGGTTTGTACTGCTCAGGCGTGGCAATGATTTTGTTGGCTGGGGTTTTCCTTGAGATGGCATATTCGCTGCGGTCGGTGTGGTGTGGCCGCTGCCCATGTGAGAATCTCCATCTTCGTCTAAGCTGCTTGCTATTGAGTCGTCGATTACGCAATCCAGAAAGCTCTACAAAAGTTAAATGATTAATCAATGTGCAAATGCATGGGCTAAAACGAACCTCCCATGTGATCAGAATTGGAGAGCCGTTCTGTAGGATATCTACACCAAGATCACCCATAGTCTTGTCCTGCAACGCCTCCGCTATTGAAAGATCATGTTCACTTTCCAAGTCGATACCAAAAAGGCGACCCATGGCCTCGTTCGCAAGCACTACGGTCTTCTGGGCAGACAAGACAAGAACCGGTACTGGCAAGTACTGAAGCGCAGTAAATGCAGCCATGGTGGCTGACGGCTCTGTAAGATGGATTGACATTGAGTCGCTACGAATCGAGCTGGGAGACGCAGATCTGGAGCGAGAGCGCTCCTCCATAGGGAAGTAGCTGCCATCGCCGCTTTCGGTCTCTGTCATTATGATCACGGTGGTGTGGTGGCGCGAGTATTATGGCCGCGTAGGATTGTGATGCGACTCGTGTATCCGCGGACCGTGGCGACCGCCGAAGATAGAGCCGATTTCGAACGCCTCAACCAGACCAGTCAACAACATGGACTAAACGCCGTATCCAGATCATGAGAAGTTTCGCGCGCAGCCGTATTCGAGGTCGAGAGAAAAGTGCGAGTTTGCGGCGTGGAAAGATGTTGGGCGGTGTTTGTCGACGCGCTTCGGTGATCGCTATACGAGGGGTCGATCGGTAAGTCTAGACCCTGACAGACGCTACCAAGGTAACAACTACCGGTGCTGCAAAAAGTGAATCGAGAGAGGCGACAAGTACACAAAGGCACCACCAGGAAAACGTATGAGTGAAGGTCAAAGATGTCGCGAAGTTCTAGAAGCACGCTTCCGGGATGCCGGGTGCTGTAGCAATGACGTAAAATTGGCAGGTGAAAGAAGTCGACGCACTTTTGAGACGGCGCGCGTCCGTAGCGGCCATGGGGAACATCCCCGAGCTCTGCCATTCGATGGAACATGATTGTCGGTTGTTTGGCGCGAGATCTGGGGGGTCCATTCCTTTGGCTGATCCGACGGCGATCATTGTGGGCTGAACACTGTTCGGTTAAGGGTCTCCAGAGCTACCTAGGTACTTCCCCGTCTTGTCTTGTCACTCTTGGACTGGGCAGTACATTGTTGTGTATTGAACATGTCGACGATTTGGTCTGATAACGATCTCCACTAATGCCCACGGCCTTCTGTTGAGGCTGGGGTATGATCGACCGGCGGTCTAGAATAAACGCGATTGACAAGCCATGCACGGCAATCGAGAAATTCCCATGATCACGATGCGATTGTACCTCTTCCGGGATCACGACATTTTATGCACTTGCGGAACTGGTATTATACATACATAATGAACACATTCTTCTCGTGTCATTTAATTGGGGCGATGTCCTGTCAAGAAGCCCGAGCTGCTTCGAGATACGCTGTGGTAGGCGTTGCGCTTACATAATCGCGATGATGGTGATGTTGAAGCCCACCAGGACGACAACTGTCTTTCTGCTAGGCAGCTACATCGACACCTGCGACTTTCAGCGATACCCCCTTCACATATCGTAGTGCACGACACAACAACACGATTCTGCTCAAAACTTACAAATGTTCTTCTTCGGGCTCGGCGGGCTGTTCACAGGTATTACATGTGAAGTCGCATCCGATAGATTCGCTCGCTAATACGCGCAGTCGCGGTCCTCCTCGTCAACGCCATAGCAATCCTCTCTGAAGACCGCTTCCTCGCACGCAGTACGTTTGCCGGGCCCTCATAACCCGCCGCGACCTTTGCGCATCCACGCATCCACTGGCACACGCGAATCTACAATTGAGCATCCAACTGACCAGGACATAGTTGGCTGGACAGCATCTGCAGCAGAACCCGGTTTCGGCGGCCCTCGCGACGATGCCAGTATAAAGGCGCGACTGATCAACCTCGTATCCTCAGTACGGACGCTCATGAGGTGTACGTGTACCCCTCAATCCTCTCCATACCCACGTCTCTTGGAGGGGTGGAAGACAAAGCCAAGACAGATTTGCTAACACGATGCAGTACCATTGATGTTGATCAACACCCTCATGATAATCTATCTACTGGTCCTCGGCTGAGCGCAGCGCAAACACGTTACGAACCAAATCCCGACGATTTCGATTAGCATATACACGGCGCAGGAATGGGCGTACGCAAGCGTTTGGCAGTGCACGCTACAAAAGGTTGACTTTATATGATGGAGTTCATGGGGTCAAGTACTACATTGAAGAGCATTTGATATCCCTGCGTGAAGCGAGCCACTTGGGACAGGACATGGAGGAGAGCACACCCTGATGCGATTGAGCGGGGCTGTTGAATCATAAGATACCACGTCATCCTCCCGTTGGAGTATGCAGAATTGAATCTCACAAATCGCTTTGTCTTTGGATACATTGCCAATGTGATCCGTATAAGCAAACTGGTCAGACACATGGAAGTGAGAGAAGGGAAATGGAGACACATGGAGACTATGTGTAGTTTCAACAAAGAGAAGCGAATGTATAATCCGAGTGTCGCGAATCATGTTGCAATCTACGATCTCTGAGTCTCTAGAGAAGAGTGTAGAACTCGCTTCCCGCCAAAGTAATAAACTACCAAAGGGCGAGGTTGTTGTACTCAAATACTACCTCGATTTCTCGATTTCCAGCACAGCGACGAACCCACGCAGATATTTCCTTTTCTGAGTGAAGAGCCCACACGCTTTTCTTGTCCCAAGCAACGCAGCCATGGATCACAACGCGCTCGAGGCCTATCATTGTTTCCAAAACCCAAAGGGCCGCCGATGTACTGCTCTGCAATATATGCATATCAGTCACCGGGATAACCCCACTGGTGAACTCGAAAGAAAGTGAAGGGACCCTGAGCGTGGTTATTGCATCTCTTTGCGCGTTGCTGAGTTTGTTGACGAATATGCCGATATCCTTGGGCAACATCTGGAAAGCATTGAGCTTGAAGGGTAGGAGGCGCGTCTCAGCATGGATCTGACGGCTGACGGCGAGGAGCCACAGATCCGCGGGGAGAGGTAGGCAGCGAATAACATCTATCTCGTAAAGCCCCGAGAACTTGGGGATTTTGGTGTGGCGAAGGGCGTAGGCATAGATTTGGTTGCGGATCTCGCCCGGGAGACGCAGAAAGGCCGACTCTCGCTGGTTGCGTGTGGCACTGCAGCGATATTAGTTATGATCTGAGCCGCGCGAAACTTCCGGAATGACTTACATGATGGCTGCTTCTTGAGCAAATCGAGAGTCGTTGCATGGGACCCAGAGCATCGTGGTGTTTCGTACGCTATTCAAGCTTGGTGGTGAGCAAAACAGAAGGAGCGTCGAAGGTGGTTTCCAAGGTTACGACAACAATCCAATCGGGCTAGTGAGAGCAAACAGTCCTCTGATGTCACCCATGGATTGCTTTGCAATATCGGAAGGTGCGCCTCTTCTCTCACTTCAAACGACCTTCACCTCTTTAGCCACGGCAGCGCAAAGCTCGACCGTCACTCCCGCCCCAGAGAGCACATGTATCCAAAGCCTCTGTGTGTCACTCAAACGGTCGTTCTCACTTTTCACCTCTGCAAACTTGACCTCACCCTTCTTCCCCTCCTCTTCCGGGACTCGCCAAAGAAATAGATCGGGTACACCGCCACCTCTCTGCCCATACTCTTGCGCCATGACCTTGCACACAGTTGCCAACGCCTCGCCGTCAAAGCAGCGAGCAATCTCAAGCAGATCCACAACGTCGTATGTCCAGTCCAGACCTACAACGCAAGTCCGGCGCTCGTGGTGGTCATCGTAGATTCTTTGGATGATGGCGGGTGCGTCGCCGTTTGATATCTCATTCAGCCTCGCGTTGATCTCGGATATCCGAGAGGGATAGAAGGCGTCGGTATGTAGGTCCAACGGACAGGTCTGGTACGGAGTCTGGAAGACGTTGGGTACGTAGGTGAATAGGACGTCGTAGAACAAGTATGCGAAAAGCGTGCGCACGATACCACCTTCAGCGTGATAGCCTTTCCAGCCTTGGTTGCGGTAATGCGAGAGACACATTGCTTCGACCGAGCATTCGCCGTCCTCACGCGGATCAATCCATATTGTCTTCCCACCTCGTCGGCCCGATTTCGCATGTGGTGAGCTAGTACGTCTTGACAGTGAGGGTCTTTCGCGTTCGATGCGCGTTCCCTCCATAACGACTTCGACGGGCTTCGTCAAGCGAACATGTGAGAAATCATGTTGCAATCGTTTAACAAATTTCAGAGACAATTCAAGTTTGGTGATACGCTTCTGCAAATCATAGTGATAGATAATATGCACAAGGTTATCCTGCAACCCGTCTTCACAGGTCTGCAAAGCAATGAGCTTCCAATGCCTCTTTTGTTTCTCTGCGCTTCTGTTCTCTGCATCGGTCAATGCAGCCATGTAGTGTTCTTCAAGTAATGCTTTGCGCTGATACCAAGCTCCTCTGCGAGAATGATGGAACAGTCGCTGTTGCAGCAGCTCATTCAAGAGTTCATGCTCGCGCTTGTGCTCCTTCCGTCGTCTGAGTATGTCAAGCGTCTTGTGAATGATGCGCGTGTATACCCACGCTGGTGAAAGACGACGAAGGTATGACCCTTCGCCGCTGTGGTAGACGCTGTCCTCTTTTCGCTGCTCTTCTTGAACAAGCACCTGCCAGCGCGGGTATACCTCCTCAAAAGTATCCAAAATTTCTTGATACCCTTTCTCCGTTGGCCTTCCGTTGAACTCCAAGATGCTATCGATCCGGTACTGCGTTCGTATAGAGGCCTCATACTCGAGCAGTAGGGACCGAGAAGCGAAGATGTTCGCAGATCGAGAGACAATATACTCTGGAAAGTTCCAACGCGCAATCTTCGCCAGGATGATGGTTGTCAACGACTTCTCGGTCCACTCGGTAGAGCGGTAGAAGACAAGATGGACACGTTCGAAGAGCTTCAAAGTGGCCAGCGAAAGTCGTATACAAGGGCCCGTTTCTTGCATGATCCTGCGTGTGAAGTGCGCATCGCGATTTGCATCATCGGAGAGATCAGCTTCGGGCTCCAGCTCGACATCGGGCGTCTCTGGTCGTGACCTGGATACGGAAGATGCTCGCGACATCTCCGAGTCCGACCGCGTCAATCCAACATGGCCCAGACCGGTCTGTCTCTGACTTGTGCGTCGTAAAGCCTTCAGAAGCTCACCCTTGTTCTTTCCCTTGACCTTGGCATCCTTTGCAAGAGCCTTCAGTTCATCGAGTTTCAGCAAGGATGATGCTTCCTCGAGTGTGCTTATCTCCTCCTCAGATCGATCCGCGAACGTGAATGTGCTGCCCAGTGTTGTGCCTGCTGGCGCCTCTAGTTCGCCCGGATGTGACTCGACTTCGGAGGAGGAAGCCGGCAGGTCGTATGTACGTTGCAGCGTTTCGGCTGCTGCGTCAAGGTCTGAGATGTCGCTGTGGTAGCCCAGGTTCTTTATGCGATGCCATGCGGAGGTCTTGCGAAGGAAAAGGCGTACGTATCTAGGAGAGAAGTCGAGGTTAGTATGACTCTACTGCCCATTGTACTGGAACTTCCATCTTACAGATACTGCGCTTCGTAGCCTATCTCTCTCCACATCCGAAAGACCTCTGTTTCGGCCTCATCAAAGAGGTGGCCTTCCTCGTCCAGCACTGTATCCAGTGCGAGGTTGAATGCGTCGACATAGAGCGAGCTTTTGCCTCGAACCCATGATCGCTTCTCCAAGCGCTCATCTGTCCCGGCTGTCTTGCTCTCTTCCTCCGCCTTGTACGCCTCATATGCTTTGATGGCGTCATCGCCTGTGTCGACTTGAGGTAGCGCACTTTCTAGGTCTGTCTTGTGTTCTTGTTCTTCCTCTTTGATCACAGTACCACCACTCTCGTCGTCAGAATCAAGCACTTCGCGCTTGACGGCCTTGCGAGGTGTTGGTGGTGGTTTCTTGGGGCTGTTGCCCGTCTTCTGGCGCTTGACCGGCCGATCTTGCTCGCCATCGAAGTTGGTGGATTTGGGATGCTTGATGAACCGAGTTATCATTTGATTGTGTACGGAAGGGCTCCGAGGATTGAGCGCCATTGCGAGGTCGCAGCAAGCTGCGGAGCGGCGCCTGGAACCAATGCAAGTAGCACTCGCCACTAGCCAGGGCGACGCGCGAGATCGCGCTGTCACGAGGCACTAACCCTGAGCGGGTCTTAGCGTGATCGAGCTTATGACGTCACCAGGCCACTATATCGATCTTTGGGTGAAGGAACTCCATCAGCCCTGACGGACACGAAAGATACCGAATCGCCTAGGAAAACATTCATCCCAAATTTCTGCGCTAATTCAAACTTTGCTTGCATAGGACGTCCGTACTGCGCTGTGTAAACCTCTACCCATTCTACAAACGTCCAACCGCCTTCCTGGGAAGTGGTCTAGGTGAAGATACCGCAGCTATAATCGACAGCTCTCAATACTTGCCTAACGCAGTATCGTCTGTTCTAGGTTGAGACGAATTGCGACAGAAATGTACGTGTGAAATCCTACCCTCTAAAATCTACGGCAGAGAGAACCTATCTATAGATGCGGTATGCACCGAGAAGAATAGCAACGCTAGCGGAGCGGGTGGAGGGTAGAGGGTGAAGGATATTCTACTGCAATCAACGGCTTGCGATATTGCTGGATTAGGTAACGTCTGGCTCGAGATGAGATGGAATTCGATACATTCAGTACACCCGACGAAGCGCATCAATTAATAACAGTCCCATAAGTTGGCGGCATCATCTTCCTGCCTGCGCCTCCGGACCTTCACACCGGACTACTCTCGACTGCGCCAACTCCAACCTACTTCCCATCCATTGGTCGCTCTGAATCTCTACTTCGGTTTCAATCTGTACGCCCATATAGGCTACGCCATTCATTCCCTTCCGACTACTCCCCGCTTCCAAATCTTTCCTGTCGTCGCTCCTTTGGATATCCTCTCTTTCCATGAAGGGGTTCTCGCTTCCTAGTACTCTTTGCCCAGATGTATGTATCGAAGTAACGCCAGATTGAATATCGTAAGCGAGCTCGACGTCGTGTGAGCTGAGGTTCGTAAAGGTGCGAACACGGCTCTGGCGTTTGCTTATGGATAGGTTACCGTATCCATGCGAGCTCTGGCCAGGCATCTTTGATTGGCTGGTGGTATAATAGCTTGTGTGTTCACGAAGGAAGCGTATGTGTTCGCGGAGAAGAGGCCAGATACCGGGGAGATTGGCTACGTAGACGGCAACAGATGCCTCACGGGTATACCACAGCATGTACGTGGTGGAGTATACGTCCGATAGATTGTAAACTTTCGTCAATATTGCTGCGACGATCTTGTCGGCCGTGTTAGTAAAAACAAATCGTGAGATGATAGGAAGGAGGAACATACAACGAAGATACCCATGCTGAATAATATGCCTAGCACAACCTTCTGTTTCAGAGGAAGTGAAAGCGACATGATCATCGGTATCGGCACAGCGATGATGAGGACATCGCTACTTATGTTGAAAGTTGCCTGTACTATCGCAAAGTGTTCAAGTGTCGTACATTGCGGATTTGGGGGCGGCACTGCCCAGTATCCTACGAATGGGCGACATGCACTGAAGAAAGTAATCTGGACAGCGAACCAGCCGATAACGACCCATAGTGCAGCCACTTTGATCCACTTCATGTTCGTTGTTCCGGTCAGCATACGAGCAAACATGAACAACATACAGGCTTTCAAGGACCATATAACGTTCAGCATGCACTACTAGGTGTTAGTTATGCTTTATAGTGTGTTTGCATGTCTCATGGTCTGTTGACTTACTTGCTCGGAGACGACGACTATCTTCGATCCTTTGATTCGCTCATCTATCTCTTCTTGACTGAACGTGGAGAATAGCTCTGGTGGGAAGAGGTTGCTTCCACCTCCCGTTGCGATTGTGTTCAAGCATACAATCAGCCCAGTGTAGAAGGTCGGTACGGCTGTTGCCATGATCCAATCATCTGCTGCAAAGGCGTTTAGGCTTCTGACTCGATGCCATCGCGCGTATCTGTAGTTGAGAGTGAGCACGGCGCTTAGTTTGGCTAAGTATAACTAACGTGCGGAGTAAGATCATGACCATGCCGATGCCGTACAATATCCATGATTGCACCGACAATTGCTGCGGAAAGTCGGACATGTCGCTCTCGCCCATGATCGGAAATAGGATAGTCTCGCCTGAGAGTCGTTCGGCCAATATATTGTCCACGAGACCTTTGGTAGAGAAAACGAATGCTTGGAGTTATCAGTCGCACTTTCTCCACATGTAATGCTCCATGCTTTGAATTGTTAATAGCTCGGTTCAAACATAGTGTCGAGATAAAAGGGTTAAAACTCTTGAAATGAGATGACAGCCTTGGATGATAAAGATGCTATGCCGCGGGAAGTTTACTGCTTAGCCAAGATAGACATGGTTCCGCTGCACCTATCAACACACCTAGACATCAGGTCATATCTGGATACGGCCCAAGAAACGGGACAGGTATCCTGAGACTATACCAACAACAAACATCAATAGACATCTCCGCGAAGTTGTAATCGGTATGTTGGAATCCTTCGAGGTCAGTGGCGTGGATGGCCTGTGGCGATGATCAACATCAAAGTCGACCTAAATAGTTAGCATCCTGTACCGGCCCATCCATCATTCCAAGAGATGCCAGTGGGAAAGCATGATTGGCGAGAATTGTCGCCGATAGCCAAGCCTGTCCCTGAACGAAGCGCGGGGTGCAACATTCGGCGCGATGGGGTTGACCGCAGGCGTGGGATGTAGGCGCTGTCCGAGGCGGACGCCTCCAGCCGCACGGTAGGCATTGTCCGTATTGGTATCAAACATCGCAAGAATCCACGTGTAAGCGATGCTTGTGATAATCTTAATGACGGCAGGACGAGCGGTGAGTAACAGCCTCAACAACGAGCGAAACATGTATTCAACACGTGCTGCTTCGCCCAGAACACTCTCAAAGGCTATGCGAGCCAATCAAGGTACATACCCATGTATGGGCGCAGAGAGACTCCGGTAATGAGACATGAGTTGTCCTGCCGTATACGCGTATATTTGCGGCAATATCCACATAGAGACGTTGAAGCGTGGAGGCGGGGAGGTGCGCGATAAGGGAAAAAGAAACCACGACGGGATGCGGATGTCATCCGCCAAGCGATCCCTGCCACTACTGCCAAATCCTGCATTCTCTGAGCTTTCAGAAACCAACCAAGGCTTGATTACAAGGGACCTATCTCAAAAGAAACATATATACATTCTCAAGATAAGGAAATATGCAGGTCCCAACAGACCCTCCGGCACCATGAAACAGACAGCGGAGAAACCGGAACAGCTCCATAGGAGATCTGCATCCAGGTACCAAGCCACATCATGCAGGGAAGGACCGACCACTTACACCAGACCCAACGCCAGAAAACCGCTGAATGTAAACGCTAAACCGCTCAAAAAAGCTCCATGTATAGGGAAGATACAATCCATGAGTGCAACACTCGTCTAGAGCGCCCAACTGCCTTTCCTAACGGCAGTTCCACGCCCCCCAGCCATGAATTCATCTTCAGCCATGTGGGGGTGTTGCCTCGCCCATTCCTGGATATATATGCGTAAGGCGCGCCAGCGCATGCATGTCTCCTCGGTAATCTGGGTGTCCTTCAAATTGCCGTCGTTGCCCAGACGAATGTAGCCACGGGATGAGGCGAGGTGATCGTCTTGCCTCAACTCGGAAATGGGAATGTGCGAAATCTTTGAAAGCTCTTCATCGAACGGACGTGCCATTGATGGATATCCGAGTGACAGGTAATTGTACACTTGGGTAACAAAGTTGTCACCAAATTCTTCTTCGATGGACTGCTCGACAGCGAGCTTCTCATCGATGCCCGAGAAGTCCGTTTGCCCAAAAGTGACGCCGGAGCTCGATGCCGGAGGCGTAGGTGGCAAGAGGCTCGTAGAGGGCGTTGGACAAGGTGACATGGGGTTTGGCTTCTCATTGTGGGGTGTGAGTAGACCGGCTGGCCCGCGTGGGGACTTGTCTCCACCGTTGACGCAGAAACCACCCCACAACCCGTGCGTGCTTGAAGCTCGGCTGTTGGCATTGGACCACAGTGATGGTGTTGTACTTGTTTGCCTGCCATTGCCTTTTCCACACCATAGGCTCTCTCCTGTTTCAGACGCGGCCTTGGACTGCTCAGAGAGATAGCACATAGCCGTCCTGACCGCATCGCATCCTTGAGTAGGGTCAAAACGAGATGGCTCCGGTGATGCACATCGAGGGAATTTGATGTCCTGTCCAAGCATGGGAGGTCGGGCTTCTTTGCGTTGACGCTCTAATTCGGGGTCTTTTCGCTCGTTCGCAAACTTCTTGGCCGTAGCAGCATCCAGAAAGCCGGCTGGGTTTCCGAATGGGCTGAAAGCAGGCTTGTGATACTCTTTCGGCTTCTGCTCCTCTTTACCGGCTTTCTGCTTCTCTTGATACTCACGCATGGCAATTAAATCCCAATTAACCTGCGTGAAGGACGGTTCTCGCTGCGGCTTGGCCTCAGTGACTGATGGCTCTGAGCCTTCTGTGTCATGATCCACGTAATGAGCCACGGGTTCGTGGAAGTCGCTGTTCGGGAATGCGGCCAAAGCCTGTTCCCGAAGCTGTTTCTCTGCAGCCTTAGCAGCCAACTCAAGTAGGTAGCCAGCAGAACTGTCGTCAACACTTTCTCGTCGTCGAGTAGCTTCTTTGTACATAAACGAATGGTCTGAAGTGTAAGGTGGCGACTCCGTCGGCGATGGCGGCGCAGATGCTTCAGACTCGGAAGACTCAATCGGGTCTAAGTCAGGAACACGAAACGAGTGCTGCGAGGAGCTAAAGTACGAACGGCGCCTACACGGTGAGGCGTTGCGTTGTATCTCCAAAAACAAAGGGTTCTGTTTGATATCAAAAGTCGGTGTGTTTGTTGGCGGTGTGGGAGGGATTCCCAGTATCCTTGCTTTCCGGGCACTTATTGCAGAGTCCGGGGTCGCCTCAGTCTTGTCGGACGGTTGTATTGCGGGAGTGTCGTCCCCAGCCTTGCGATGTCTTTGGGCAGTTTCGATCAATTGCGGTCGAAATTTCTTGGTAGGCAGTTTTAGAGAACCCTTGTACTGGCTACTGTAGCTTGAAGCCGCTTCCATAGGATCCGCTTTGAACTTCCCGGTGGGGGACGTTTGCTCTTCCCAGTCCTTGGCAAACTTCTGACGACTGCTTCGTGTGGTCGTCTCCACGGGCTCGGGAGCAAAGCGACGGTTGGACCTCTTGGTAGTCTCAACGGGCTCGGGCGCAAACCTACGGCTAGACTTGGAACTTGATTTTGTCGTCTCTATTGGCTGTGGTGCAAACCTCCGTGGCTTCGGCCTCTCGGCCTGCTGTGCCGGAGCTTTGTCCTGCTGTGCCGCAGCCTTGTCCTTGGAGGACGAGACAGTTGTCTCGATGGGCTCGACCTTGAAACGCCTGGGAGGAGCTGCTGACGCCATCTTTAAGTATGTTCAGCACTCGACGGGAGCTCCCTGATGCTGTACTTATACAGGCAATCGGATATATCACTAACGGTGTCTTCGCCAATCGCAAGACTATGCGGTCGCCCGGGTAGACTAGTGGCAGAGGCCTAGTATCTGGGGAGGTGCGGAACCGAAGCGGGGAATTTACTCGGAATATTTCGGAGGCATGTAACTGCGTAGGGGCGCTGTTGAGCGTGACAGCGACGTTGCGGACAATGCTCGGTGCAAAAGTAAGCACACGCAAGCCCCGCTGGCGGTTTGTTGTGGTGGTAACGCTGGGATGGAGGGTGCAGCCGATGCTGGCTAGTTGGGGGCAGGGAATTGTCTACGGCGGTCGATTCGGAGGCTCGTAGGGCTCAAGGGTACTCGTGTGGTCTTGGAGCATGTCAGTCGCGTGCCATTTTGCTTCTGGCCGTCTCCCAGGCACGGGCTCAACTTACTGCACCCCGTATCGCAGTTCCCACACGGCCAAGGGTTTGTCGAACTGCGGAAAGCGTCTGAAGGAGAGGTTGCCGAGAAACATGTGAATGGCACAGTGTCTAGTAGCTGGCGCTGGCGTGTGTGGTGCAGGATGACGTATGGTGGAGCGACTGCTAGGGACAGCCCGAGAGCTACCGCGGGGATTTGCGGGTTTGGATGTGCGTGTATGTGCACTGGTGGTGAGCGCCGTCAGTTATATCCAGGGCTGTCGTGGTACGGCGTTGCTAGACGTTGGATCGTGGGAGGCGCTCGTTGGGTGACAGGGTTGGGTTTCTTGTTGAGCCCTGGAGCGCTCCGACCAGCTCTCGGAACTCTAGAGCCAGCAAGATCCAGGCACTTAAATCGTCTTATCAATGCGTGCACCGCTATTGACACACGAGATATCCATCGGACTTGGACTAAATGGGCTGTGGCAGAAAGTTCTAGGGCTCCATGGCTGTCAAGCAGCTGCCCGATGATCAGCCTCGTGGGCGGAGCGGTCAATCAGTGGAGTCAGCACTCTGCACCCGACCGCATCTTCGGCACGTTAATTCGTTCAAGGATGCACGGTGCGAGCGTGGAGAGCAGCCGTGTGGGTCTGCGATGAGAACTAGACAATTCGATGTCGAGCATCGGGGATCGACAAATGGCATGCGCTACTCCGCGACTCCAGACTCCACGCCCGCTTGCTGATCGAGAATGACTACAGCTTTTGGGGATTCCAGAAAGTCTGATCAGGTCTTTGCCTCGCAGTGAAAGCGATGCGGCATTTTGTGTGGAAATTAATGCTTTATTTACGGAAACCCTAGCCACGTACTTGTCTCCGCTGAGAAGAGCCATCAGGGGGTCTAAGCATCGTGTATTCCCGAATGCGGCCGCTGAGGCAGGAATCTTTTCATGTGTGCGTGGCCATGATGGCATAATTTATAACAATTCCACAGTACAATTGCAGCATGCACATGCGCCTTCTGTTTACAGGCGCCGTGCTCAGGCAGCATACTCCGAATCCAATTTCGCGCTGACCATCCGACGTTGTGAGGAGTGATCGGGCAGGCGCGGGCGATTCCGGGTGGCTTTTGCGGTTGACACATGCCGCATGAACGACGGTTACCGTAACCATAATTGGACAATTCTACCACAATCCACTTCGTGAGAGTGCTCCTATCTTATTTTTACTTTGTTCGCTACGCCTATATCGATTTCTGCTTCACATTGGACATGTGTCTGGCTGAAGCCTCACGACCGCGTTTCTTTCCACTTGATGAAACTATTGAATACATCTACTAACACAACCCTGACAAACGCCACTAAAAGTACTCAAGAATCCCGCTCGCTACACAATATTGACCAATACTCTGAATGCCATCCCGGAAGAGCGCGCCTATACACCACCAGCGATCACCAACCACCACCCAACAAAACCTTGGAAGCCTTCCAATCAAATCCCCCTATACCCCAAACTATGGCGGCGAGATGTATCCATAAGCTGGCGCATACCCGCTCCACGACTGCTCCATCAGATACCAGAGGGGCGAGCGATCCGGTACGACAAGGTGACTCGCTGGGTCTCCGCGGCAATGCTCGTACTGGGGGCTGAGACGCAGCGGCGTCTGCAGAAAAAAGTACTCGATAGGCAACGGCGTGGCAACAGGCATGCTGTGGGCAACCCAATAAAGAACACCCGGGTCGGGTGATCGGCTTCGAGCGCTGCCGCCGGCAGATACTACTGGACTGTGATCGATTGTGGCACACGGTTCGACGACCATGCTGTCGGACATGGCGGCACAGTCTTGGACCGTATCCGTGGGGTCTAGGTCTGAAGAGTATGTCGTGGCATCGTCCACATCTTGGAAAACTCTGATATCCTCATCGTGCGACGCGGTCATCAAGTATGGTTCTTCGTCTGCATCCACGGCTGTCTCGTCGTCGCTCACTCCTCCACCGCCTTCGTCGTCGCTGGCCTTCTCGCACCCTTCTCCGCAGTCGTAGCCGCAATTCCTCCAATTGAATTGGGGCGGTCTATCAGACGATGGGCTATCCAGAGCCGGCTGATGGGAGGAATTGTTCGGATCATCATGGTCGTACATTGTGGCGATAGTAAGAAGATCGACTTCCCTGAAGCATGTCAGTTGACCTTGTGTGGTATGGGCTCAAGGACTCAGCACCATTGTCGTCGAAGGTGCAGACGTAGGTAACATCGACTCGTTGCAGCGCAGACAAATAGAGAAACAGTGCATCTTACCTTGGCAGCACAATGAGAAGAAACAGGGACGGTAGGCAATGGAAGACAGCGCTGAATGCCACAAGATGATAATCGTTTCAGCAAAGGTAATGGTATACAAGCTAATAATACAGATCAAAGCACCTCCAAGTCAACAATCTCTGGAGAAGGGATCGAAAAGAACAACTACAACACGTCTTTCCAAGTCTTTATACCAACAGTATATGAGCGATCATCGGCCACCCAGAATATACGACAGAACGAAAGGGAGTCATAACCGCCTCCGCGACAGACACGTTGCCTAACCCCAAGCCTGAGTCGGTCACCTACCTGGCTCCAACAACCCATCACTGGACCTCCTTCCCCGCATTTATCGCAAGCGACGTCGCATCAGAAGTTTGAAGGACCAATATCCTCCGCTCATCTATTACCGTATTCCGACACCGGCCAGCGTGCTTATAACCCGGGGTAATCGAGAGTACCCTCGAGTAACCACGCGACGGAAGGATATCATAGGACACGTCCGAAACGAGTTGGCAAAACCCGAAGGTAGCCGACATGTAGAATGTTCTGCCTGATGACGGCATGGGGACTTTGTTTTGGGGAGAACGCGTCGCGTGTGCGTGTCCGAGATGGGCTCACCGGAGGCCGCCTACATGGGCGTTGGAAGTGGGGTAAAAAGCCACCGGTCAACACCGAGAGCGATTGTAGACCAAGGAGTAAGGTATGACTCTGGTGAGATTGGTCGCTTCGTTTTGGCATGTTGCGGACCTATGTCACTGTGTATGACGGATATTTGGGGTCGTGTTAAGCAATATTGCCGCTTTTAACCTCGTCGGTCGGGAGATTTTCTTACTGGTGGATGGATTTAGAAAGGAGACATCATTGTCTCATGATACTTTGGATATTTCTTGATATTTCCTTTCTATCATGGTCATGGTGTAGCGCGCCAATGTATATGCATCTAAATTTCCGTGCATTCGCCTCTGCATGCCGGGTCCTCAATCCAACCATGACGTCTTCTCCCGTCACTTTATGCCCTTCCTCTCCACCTTGCTCATTTGTTATGCCAAAGTAATGTTCGTAACGAGTTCCAGTCGTCCGACTGCACATAACTGTCAACATGTTAGCGTAATCCCATTTTCTTCCTGCTTCAAAGAACACCCACATATAACTCATACTACTCCTCAAACTGCTCTGCACAGCCTCAGGATGCCACCTGAAAATATACATGACCATCGCCCAACTTAGGCTGGCAAACACCGGCCACCCATTCTTCGCCATCGTTCTCCTCATCTCGCCGTTGCCGAACAGCTCCCACCCGCCACCACCTCCTTGAACTCCTTGTCCACTCGCTCCGCCTCCGACCTGTCGTGGTTGTACTGCTAGCTTTGCTAACGCTAACAATACGCGTGCAGCTACGTATATGACGATTTGCTGAGACACGGAATTGTGAATTGTGCGACCGAAGACGGTGTAGCCGCCTAGGAGACCGGCGAGGAAGGAATCGTAGTGTCGCTCTTTACCGGTCGGGGACGCGTGTCGGAGGAAGATCATGCAGGATTTGTAGACGAGGGCGAAGAGGCCGAGGTTACGGGCGTGTTGGCGGGTCGCTTTGTAGACGAGCAAGGCTTTCGATCGGAAGCTGTTTAGTTCTTGTCAGCACGAATATTCTCTGGTTATGGAGTAGAGAAGAGGGCTGATAGTAAGGAGGGTGCTGCGTACCTTCCAGATCTAAAGAGGAAGATCATTCTGCAACCACGCGTCAGCAATCCATTTCTCCATAAACGTACGGCCTTGCGAAAACCTACACAAGCGCATGCGGAAATCGCACTTTACTTCCATATACAATGCCATTCCTTACACCTTTTACCAGTGTGAGGATATCGTGGTACTTTGGGTCTAGCACAATCCTGTCGAGCGCAGCCTGTTCAAACCGTCAGCTCGGGCTTCAAAAGATGCGACATCCTAATTTCCTGCAACATACCTCGAGGGCGTGTAATCTGTCCATGTCGATTGTATGTGTGTGTGTTATGGCCTGGGTGTTGTGTTCTGTCGTTGCTGGCTTGCGTCCGGCGAAGAAGAGCCTCGGTCCAGCGCGCGCGCGTTGCGATGACGTTTGCCGCTACCTTTTACGGTCGCAGAAACCCTAGAGGAGAAAATCGAAGGAGTGAAGAGAAGAGCGGAAGTACAGTGTACGTATCATGAGGCTGGCATGGGAACGAGAGCGAGGTTTGCGGTCGGGTATAGATAGCGCAGAGTCGCAGTCGCGGAATGGCTGCTGGCATCTGATCCTCGGCTCGCGTCACATTGCCGGTCGCTGCTTCCCCACATCCGTGGATTGGTGCAGCTTCGCGCTAAGAGAAGGAAAGGACAGGGGTGTTTGCGCTTTGACATGTGAAGGTAGAATATTTTGGAAAAAGTTGCATGTGCATGCGTTCTATGGTCTAAGACTGCTGCTTCTTTTCTATGCGCTCAATGTAACAATACATGGTATCTCGACGCTCCCGCCTGATGCTATACAAACGCCCCCAAACACCATGATATGCTGCTCGACAAAGTCCGCGCATCCAGCGCGAAATCCCGTAACGGTCCTAGTCTACCCGTCGAGTAGGCCATCGCTTCTTCAACTCTTCATATACGGTGAAGATGAATGCAGAACTGGGTATGGATCTCGCAACTGTGATACCACACCCACGGTACATGCCTTTGATACCGTGTTGCTTCCAAACCGCCTTTCCCACAGCGCTGAATGTCGACTTTCCGCCAGTCAATTGCTTGACATCTTCGGTCTGCATTCTCGACTTGATCGTGTCCGCAGGGTAGAACATGAAGTTGTAGGCTCCACCTGCGACAGAACCAGAGGCCATGCGCTGCCACACGGGAATATCTTCGTCCTTGGCTGAAGTACTGGAGCCCTTGAACAGGATCTTCATGCCTTCATAGCCACCGAACCACGCTGCACCGCCTCCTGTCTCACGAATCAAGGTTCCAAACTGTCCGTGCCAGTAGCCCTTGAGGCCCTGGTGACGATAGATAGAAGCAATGACTCCTCTGATAGTGGGTGCGGCCACGACGCTGCCTTTCGTTTCTAGGGGAACTTGCATCTTGCATTTAACGAGTTCAATTGGTGTTAGGAAGAGTGACGTGATAGCGCCTGCGACCATTCCGCACAAGAGCATGCCAGAATAAGGTAGATCTCGCTCCGGGTGTCTCTTTAATTCAGGATAAAATCCTGAGGACTTGAGGGCATCGCCAGCCAGACGATACTGCAGACCACGTCAGTTTGACCCCCTTCATCATTCGCATGCTACTCACACTAAAGAATAATGTGCTTGTCTCTACGGCAGCGCCTACCAGAGGCGCACTGATGCCCCGGTATATTCCAAGAAAGCCATCTTGTTGTAAGGACTTCTTGAAGCAGTCAAGTGGCCCAGTGTAGCGGAGTGGCACCTGGTCGGGCTGTGACTGTAGCCGAACCTTGACCGTGTCGAAGGGGTACTCGATGTACTTTCCGACAATTCCAGCTGCGGATCCACAGAGAACATCCTTCAAGGCCTCTTCGCCCTTGCCTATGGTATGTGCTGCAGTAGGACCCCGGACCTCTTCCATTATAACTGGGTTGGGCAGCCGGCCTCTTCCCCCCACCACCGACACCGGACTCTCTTGTGCTTCCATGAATGAAGGATGTGTATGGCTCGTCAATGGATATGTGTAGCTGGAGTGAATGTATGTTTATGAAGCCGAGCGCATGTTGCGTGCGAAGAGTCGTGGGCGGTGAGAGGGCGCGTGGCTACTGTTATGAATCGAAGCCCATGTCAATAATGGGGTACACCGGTTGCGTTTGCGTTATGGCGAGTGGAGGAAGGTTCGGAAGTGTGTAACACGACGAAGAGAGTTTGCTCGAGGGAGCATGCAGCGGGCCGTGTGTGCGACGGGGATGGAGAAGATGATAACGCCCAACGTTGTACCAAACAGGGCTGACCTTTGTTTAGCTAGCCTAGGAAAATTCTGCAGTATCGGAAGAAAGTATTACAGGAGTGGAAAGCGCACAGCGCCTGCTAAGCCAGACCATCTGCATGCGCGAATAAAGTATGAGCGCAACGAGCAATTGGGAGCGCGCTCCGGCCGCACTTCTGCAGGACGCAGCTTATCAGATCAATTCGATCTGATAACATTTGAGTTGGGCGGGATTTGGGATCCCTGGCTGGCAGCCCGCGCCGGCAAAGTGCGCTAGTTATCGATAATCGGCATTAACTTTTCTCGCGCCGCCGTGTTCTGGGTTCGAGAACTTCTGCGAGATCCACTGGTCGCGCAACACCGCAACCATGTCTGAATCTGTGATAATCGAGGCGCCTCCTGCGACGGAAACTGCCCCTGTCAAGGGCATGAAGAAGAACGGTATGCGACTGCTTTGTGTGGTAGTTGCGACATGGCAATCTAACATTCCACAGGCAAGCAATGGCACGACAACAAGGGCCCCTTCCGACCAAAGGCTGGCCAGACCTCATGGGAGAAGCGCAGTGAGGAGAGGAAAGCGCTCGCTGCTGTCAAGGCGAAGGAGAAAGAGCTGAAGGACGAGAAGGAGTCTGAGAGACAGGTAGGAAACCACGGCCTTTGGTTACAAATAGACAGGAGCTGACCGTGCAATAGCGTCGAGTTGAAGCCATCAAGACCAAGCGCGCCGCCAAAGCAGAACGAGAACGATTTGCCCAGATGGAGGAGAAGATGCACAAGAAGCGCGTCGAGCGCCTGAAGAGGAGGGAGAAGCGCAACAAGATGCTGAAGTCATGAGCTCGGGTCGGTTAGACTAGAGCCGAAGCATAAAATATGCGGTCAAGGAAATGCCGCTTCGGGAGGATGTTGAAAAGGTGCAGAGGCAGGCGCGAATGCACCACCCAGAAACCACCGGCAAAGCAAGAGCGACCGGAACCAGCCCAGAGCATTTCAGTCTGCAGGGCGGGATGCAAGCAATGATACCCTATCGAGGCTTCCCATAGTGGAGGACGGAGCAAAAAGCAATCATTTAGAATATTGTCCATGATCAAAGAATCTGAAATGCCATTCCCTACTGAAAGTTCCAGTACCATAGACGCGGGATTTGCTGTACAAGCAACTTGCAATATAATATCTGCAAAACTACAATCATCATCTCTGTCTAGGCTGTTTCATGACTCTCTTCACATGCGCTTCCCCAGCTGGCTAGCGGATGGAGACCCCTGCAATGACACGCGAAACTCGGAAGTCGATCTTGGAACCCAGCAGCACCGACAACTGCCTCGTTGCGCCGACCCAACCACCACCATGACATGGACGGACAGCTTCACCTCCATGCTGGCTTGGCCGACCCCAGGTCTTTCCGTCCCAACCTCTACAGCTCCCGTTCGGCCACGCGCGTGACGACCGACCCCGAGAAGAAGTCGCATTCCCACCTGCACAAGCACAAGTCGTCGCGACACCACCACGACCGTCACGATGACCGTCACCGCCACAGCTCCAGCAAACGCCATGCTGCCAAAGAGGCAATGCAGTCAGCCATCCAGATACAGCCGCCAACTAGCTTCGGAGACCTGCTGAGGCAGGCGCGAGGGAGCAGAGACACGAGCCCCAGTCACAGTCGCAGGGAGAGCGTCGCACCAGGCCAGGCGGATGGCAGCGTGCATGGGAAGGAGGAAAGCACTCCAGGCATCACCATCCCGCCGCGGAGACCAATCCGTCAGGCGGATGTGGAGCTAGAGGCTAAGAGAGTTGAAGCTAGAGAACGGTGCGTCTGCGTCATTCACTATCAGGCCCGCAGCATTCCCCCAAGATGCCTCCTCTAACATGGCCCGCAGAGACCTTCGTGCGGTTCTGCAGACCCTTTCCGACCAGTCCCTCAAGACGTCGCGCCGTCTAGACGACACCTACTATTCCATCCTCGAGAAGGTCTCCGTACTGCGCCAGACCATCGGAACGCTACAAGAGCTCTCTGGCCTGACCAAGGAGCTCCACGAAAACTTCGAGTCCGACACGACAGAGTTGCTGGAGGATGTGACTGGCCAAGTGGAAGCCTTCGATGGCTTCAAGACACAACAGGAGCAAGTGAGCGGATTAGAAGAGCGCATCAAGGCGGGCAAAGAGAAAGCCGATGCACTGACGGCGAGGCTCGAACGAGCGAAAGAGCGTGTCGATGCGAGGGCCAAGTCGGAAGCGCGATGGCAGGCGAAGAACACTCGTATGGCTATCCCCTCAGCAATCTTTTGTTTCCGTCTCAACTAACATCACACAGATCGCGTGCGCATATTCTGGGCTATAGTGGGCTTCATAGCTGCTCTCATATTAGCCCTCGTTTTCTTCCGCCCGTCGCAACCGATCGATAACCCACGCGAACCGAAGAACACACTCGATCCTGCGACCAGAGAGGCAATATTGAAAGCCGACATACCAGACATAGCAAAAGAGGCGATTATAGGGCCGTCATCTAGTACTGCAAGTCCAAAAGTGGAGACCACCGAAGCGCAGCCTGTACTAGATGACGATGAGCGACTGCGCGCATTCGACGAGTTGTAATACTTCCAGCTACTTTCCTGTCTATTTTGCTTTCGAACACCAAGATACCCCTGCGATAGTTTGGCCACGTCCAATTTCAATCTCGAAATGACCATGTTCTTTTGGTGTTACCGTCCACTTCATCCTAGCCGTCATGAGTCCTATCACTGTTTTTTTTTTTGACACAGGCACCTTATACAAGGGAAAATCTGAACACCCTAGAGCCTACATTAAGGTGAAAACATGTAAAGTAGGTGGCCCAACGTCAACGTCGACTCTAGGGTGTTCAGTCTTTTCCTTGTATGATGTGCAGGTATATTCGCATGCGTTGCAGATCGTTGAACACAGCGTCAGGTGTTACTAGGCAGGACGCCTTGCCAAACCACAGCCAATGGTCAGAATCTGTACACCAGCTCAGCCGCTTTTGGCCCCCACCCAGCCCAAGCCACCCACGCCACTAGGCCAGCGGCGTCTTCGCATATAACAATACTTAGTCCTGTCGACTCCTCGCAGATCTTGACGCGAAGCTATCGCTGCTTCCCCGGATTCTGAGCATGGCTTCATCTCGCTCTACCTCTATGCGTTCGCTGGAGCTCAGCCAAGAGTACCTTCCGACGGCCATCGCTCCAGTCAGAGCAGTCCCACTTGCAGGCAGTCTCAAGCAGGATCGTTTACATGGCATCCCGGATCACGACCATTCCACCCACAGTGAAAGGCTGCTCGGTAACAGCCTAGCATGGAGTTCAGAAGGACCAGAATCCGTATCTTCGAAGGAACAGGCTATCATCCGAACGCACTACGATCCACCGGAGCGTTCTGGAAGCTTTCATTGGGGAGATTGGCGGTGGGAGGTTGCATCCGCAGTCTTCAGTCTCCTGTGCGTCGTTGCCATAACAATCATACTGAAAGTCTACCAGGAGAGGCCCTTGTCCGATTGGCATTTTGTTCACAACATTACGCTCAACACTATTGTTGCACTTCTTTCGACCCTATCGCGGACAGCCCTGATAGTACCAGTTGCATCATGCTTGAGTCAACTCAAGTGGATTCACCTGGTCAGGTCACCACGCCCGCTGCGGGAGATGCAAATCTTCGACGACGCCAGTCGAGGACCTTGGGGCTCTCTGGAACTTGTTTGGAGATTGCATCTTAAGACAAAGTTGGCAACATGGGGTTCTCTCATCACGATACTGTCCCTCGCCATGGGCCCCTTGTCGCAGCAGTTGCTTTCTTACCCTTCGAGACTGCATTTTGAAACCTCCGGTGCAAGCTTCTACAGGAATCAAGTTTACGATTCAGGTGCTTCCAGAGGCGTCACCGGAGGAGGGACCATAGGTAAGCTTCTGAGCTTGGTTCATTAGACGTCGTTTCCAGGCTTACAAAGCGACCAGACAGGATGATGGACCCCAAGATACAAGGCGCTATCCTGAATGGACTCTACAACCTCAGTGCACCAGTACAAGTGGAATGTCAGACTGGAAACTGCCAATGGGATGACTTTACAACCCTGGCAGTGGCTAGCAACTGTACAAATGTCACATCCGTCTCTCACGTCGTCTGCGGTAGGATACACGCAGGTTTAGCATGCAACTATACAACTCCCACTGGCTTCTTCATCAAATCGTCTCGGAGTACTAGCTCAGGAGGCGAAAAGGGAACCTGGTTCAACAGTACCGCTCATATACAGCGCGCATCTCAGATAGGCAGCGTACTCAACAGCACCATCGTCAGTTTCGCTACCGCCAACATGATGTCGCCTTTTAGCATGGACAGTCCAGACCTCACTGAGTGTGACATGCGTTGGGTCGGTCGGCACGTCCGTAACATGACCGTCGTGAACGGTACCTTCAACCCTGGAATTATACAGGACTACGAACTTTACGGCATCGCCAACCCATTCGACCCGGACTATTGGGTCTCTTTCAACGTCTCGAACGAAACTACAACACTCCCCGGTAATACAACTTTCAGCGTCGGTCCAGTCGATAACCAAGGAATGATGACGTTTCTCTCCGGTATATTTTCCTCTACGATCAAGGACGCGTACGGTCTTGCCATGCAAAATTCCACAAACCTGACACAGACTGTGCAAGCTATTAGCACTTCAATGACGTACGCCTTCGGCCAGGGGCCTAGCAGTATCAACCTCCCTGGTAGAACAATCACGACGGAGCAATACATAAAAGTACACTGGGCCTGGATAAGCGTACCTGTCGTCGAGGTCATCATGGGCATTGCGTTCTTCATAGCTACGCTCGTGCATACATGGAGGAGAGGCGTAGTGGCTTGGAAGAGCTCTGCCATTGTACCGTTATTCACGCATATTGAAGGATGGCGAACTGAAGAAAGTCGAATGGGCAGCGCAAGAGAGGTAGAGAAGAGGGCTATGGAGATGAGAGGCTTGCTAGAGAGGGATGAAGACGGTGGTCAGAGGTTCCGACGCATGGATGCATGAGCTATCCTAGAAGCCACAAGATGTACGACCATGACAATACGACACCGACGCCGATGAAACCCCCCAGCTCCGCACCTGACGATACGCTGTGTGTTGCGACTCCTGCGATGGCCGCTACAACTGTCGCGATGACGAATGATAGGGCTAGCGGCCACACCAGATACCTCTTGTCGACGACATGGCCGATGCACAAGACTTTCCGCTTCGGCGATTCCTCTGTGTTCTCCACGTCGAACGACCTCGTTTCGTGGAACATCCTCCCACTCTCATGTAGTAGCCCCGGTCGTAGCAAAGCAGCCGATAGCGCATGCGACGTCTCGATGTCTTCGAAGTGCACCTCCAAAGGGAAGATGCATCTTTGGGCGTTGGCCTAGACGGAATCAGCATACAGCAGTTTTCAACAAGATTTATGGCATGGACCCACGGCTGTGATTTCGCACACCTGGATGACGGGTCTTTGGCACCACAGCCAACGCAACATCGCTCGCTCCATCGTACTGAAGCGTAGCTTGTAGAACTCGATCAGATGAAGAATCTGCTGTTCCATGTTGGGCGTTTTGGTCTGCTTTTCGAGGTAGTTGCGGCCGTTTTTACCTAGGCAGTGTATCCGATCCAGATCTCGAGCTCTTGGTTGGACACAGTCGTTGCCATGACTTGCTCGACTGGGTTGGTGATGGCAGACATTCTCATTAAGCTGAAGCAGGCTGAGGTGATGAGACTTCATTCTTATCATTCACACGCCCCTACATCATATATGGTGGGCTATTATACGCGGCGTATCTCAGCAATGCCCCGCTGCGGCTCGGACAAAGTGTTTTACAACCCTAATCATTTGCATCAAGATGCCTTTTGATGCCTACAATTCACCAACTCTCTGACTCTTTGATACGATAACCGTAGAAGCAGTATTCAAGGTCAAAAACAATGAAACAATTTGTATGCATATAGATTGGTGACGGTGTTATAGAGATAGGGTAAGCCACTTCTTGGCTGCATGGGTGGCGTTCAAGTACTTGGGATTTGGGGGCCAAACAATTTGTTCGCGTTGCTGGCAATTCGTGACGACGCGTCCACACCCATCGACACGGCGGGTGCCACCTGCTGCCTGCCCATACCTGTCGCACTGCGCCCGCTCCTTATATTATCATATTCCAGCGTCCACGTCCCCTATCTCCCTCGTTATCCTCTTCCGACAGCTATGGCAGCTATCTCATCTTATCTAGAGTCTTCCGAAGTCAGCAGGCCACCTACACACCGCCACGGCGTACATGCACGATATGACTGCGCAGCACCTGAATTGTCTCAGCATCAGGATCAACTCGGCGGTGTCGAATCTGCCGACAACGAACGTGTAGCTCAAGCCATTCTAGTACTTCAACAGCAAGGGGAAACGGCTATTCCGAAAGGGTCCATTACGGATCGAGCGTGGAAGACAAGAAGAAGACGAGACGGTGACAGTGGATACGGTGGGTCACCCGAAATTTATGGGGAGGGCGGATCACAACGACTTGACGCCTTTTCAATTAGGTTCACATACGTGAAGAAAACCAGCAATGACGAAACAAATGTCATTGAACGAGAGGCTTCAAATCACACAGATAGTATTACGCCATGCAGCAACGAAACTTCTACTTCGCAACCTCACTCCCTTCCGCAGACCCCGAAGCCTTCAATACGATGGCCTGCTCTTTCCGCAAGTGCCAATGCAATGCCTGCTGGGCACCCATGGAAGGCCCGGCGCATAGCTTCCGCTAAGAGAGACGGCTTTCAAGAGGGATCCCATTCCCAAGAACTAGCAAGAACTGCAGTAATAAACGGGGAACAATCGGAACCCTTTCTCAATGAGGTTACCACGGCAAAAGAAGAGTTTATTCACAAGCTCATTTCGACTGATATAGGGAGAAAGCGAAGCACTAGTCTTGATTGTTCATCCCACGAGGGCTCGGATAATCAAGATACCGCGAGAATTGGAGTTCTTCAATGGGTCGACGCAACCGAAGATGCAAGCACGTACCCGCCTTTCACTCCGCCAGCGATTCCGAGTGCAAGCATCAGCAATAGGAGCTCGCCAGCTGCTCCAGTGCAAGATTTGAGTCTAAGAGGAGGTCCGGTATCATCTTCGAGGGCGCTGGTCCTCGAAGTTTGGAGTATTTTACAGGATAGGGACCAATACTACGACGTGTACGAGTCATTGCAGGCACATGAAAGCGCAGAATGGTTTACGGACGACATCCACTCGTTGCAAACATCAACAAACGGGTCTGGCTCAAACGGATCCCCAAACAGCTCTGCAACGTCGAACAGCACTCCAATCGGACCTGCCAGCAAGAATGCACTATCGACCAAGAAAAGAAGCCGAGAAGAAGAAGGCGACGAAGACGAATGTTCCAATAGGAGACCCACCAGGGGACAAGGTGTTTGTGTTCCAGATGCACTTCAAGATTCTAATTATCCCGGTCAGATGTCTTGTCCAATGCATGAGTTGCATGACTGTCAAGGGACGAATACAACAATATCAGAACTGATGCGAAGTCTCATGAATCGCCATCGCATAGTCATATGCAAGGAATGCTGCACGCGACTACCCATACCAGACGAGGAGAAGAGGCCAGTGAATACACTACAGAAACATGCATCGGATGGCTGCGAGAGGTACTGCATTGGTGCTTCTTGCCTCGATTTCTTCGACAACTCCACGCTTTTCCACCGTCGGACGGAAAGATGTCCCTCATGGGCGACGCTTACTAAGGAAGCGAGGTGGTCATTTATATGGAGATTGGTGAATCCCGAATCAGATCCGCCGGAACCAAATTTTCTCCCCGGGCCAGCTTTCGAGCACAGCCAGATACGGAGGCCGTGTAAACAACAAGCTCGTGCTAGAGGCAATGAGATATGCGCACAGCTTGTGCGAGATATCGAAGCCAAAGAAAGACGCATCAGTACACTAGAGAACGATTTGATCACAGCCAAGAATGAGAATGTGCAGACACAGCAACGATGCAACGAGAAGACAGTCAATCTGGAGAACATCATCGAGGGTCTCTTAGAACGACTATGTGAGAATGGAATCGGTCTACCAGGATCATTACGGAAGCGAGTGAAGAACGAGTGCCCCGAGGTCATGGCTGCAATCCTTGTCAAAGAATCGCAGACTGTGTCTACGTTACCAACATCGACTCTTACGCCAAACCATGGATACTACCCAGGTTCAGGCGTGTCATCGACGTGGGGAAACATGGCTTGTCCACCACTAACAATGCCTACGATACCTGTAACCTGGGGTGCGGTCCCTCAACCAATGCTTGGGCCAAACCCAGGTTACTGCTTCCCAGAATTCAGCGAGAAAGCTCCTACGGCGAGCGAGATGTATCCAACCAATGCCTGTATTCCAAATTGGAACTCCATAAGCATGAGTCCTAGTACCATGCATGCCCAAGTCAGAAGACACAGCTCTTCCGAAACACCGGAGACCGCACAGCCGTGTGAGTGATGGGAACAAGACTATCGCGGCGTACCTGCTGAATGTGTGCGAAGAAAACTTCTCCTTTTCGTTTTCCCTCGGATGTGTGTCACCGAGAGTCGTTTTCTGTGTATCTCGCGTCACGGTTTCATTCATGGTGTCGCTTCACTAGCGTTCTTACTGTGCAACATTTGGGTATCTCTTACTCGACTGCAGTTTCGAATTGTTGCTGCTACAGCTGCAAATTTATCTCATATATTTCTCGCAGGGTTTGTCTGCCAAGAATGATCTAAATGCCATGGGTCTTAGCTAGCTCTTCATCCACTACAAACAACATCTTCCCCTTGATCGCACTTCCATGGATAAGAAGCTCATGCGCTTCAACCGCATTACTCAGCCTCATCAGCTTCGCAATAACCGGATCCAATTTCCATCCCCTCACCTTCTCTACGAGCGCAAAGAATTCCGCCACTTCCTTCTTCTTTGGGTACTCGATATCAAGCGCCCAGAAGCTTACTCGCGGTGGCTGCAGTATCGCCTCAAGGAGCTCGTCGACGTTCGCCAACATCTTACTCCCATCCGCAGCAATGACCCCCATGACACCGAAGACAACCACTTTGCCGACGTCTTGCTTAGTTGCTGCGAGAAAGTCTTGGACGCTCTTCTCACTGCCAACACCGTCGTATGCGACATCCACACCCTTTCCATCCGTCAGCGCATGAACCTGCTCCACGAGGTCCGGGGTATTTCGGTCAAGCGGTTCCACACCCAGTGAGCGCACGTAATCGAATTTGCTCGGCGAACATGTACCAAACATCTTGATGCCCATGTCGAATGCCTTGACAAGCTGAGCCATAGCTGTTCCTAGTCCTCCACTCACACTCCCGATCAGAATGCTTGAGCCGCGTGGTAAATCGACACCACTGTGCTTCAACAGACCCCATGAAGTCATATAGTTCAGCGGAAGTGCGCAAGTTTTCAGCAGGTCGTCTTCCGGTTGCAGCTTCATGACTTCTTCGTGTTGCAGGACGATGTGTGTAGCATGTGCGCCAAAGATGCTCAACGCTGCGACTCTGTCTCCGATGTTCAGTTCTCTTCCCTTTGGGACAGCATCACCCAGCGCAATTACTTCGCCTACGAGGTCATATCCAGGTGTGAAGCCAGGTGCCTTGGCCAGGGGATGAGGGTAACCGCCGACACGCTGAATGTTGTCGACTCCGGCGATACCAGCAACCAGGATGCGAATGAGCACTCCGTCAGCAAATAGGGCGGCCATGGGATCAAATGCCTCCCATCTCAACACGGACGGCTTGCCGAACTCTGATATAACCCAACGGCCTGGTGAGGTTGGTGTGGGTGACGTGTTGGGCGTGGAGAGTGATGGAGACATAGTTGTGATGGCTTAAAGGAGCGCTTGTTAGGTGAATGGAGATATCTGAGTTGGTCAATAGCAGAGAACGGAGACTGTATCAGCTATTTATCAACGAAACGTATGTGTCGTACTACCACCGAACCTGTTATGTCCGATTTTATAGTTTCACTAACAATGGGACGCCTTACAGCAGGACGAAGTCGCATTGATAATCTTGAATATCCGACTTTTGTCAGCAAGTACGGAACGTACATGCAGAATCATAGCGAATGAACAGCGACCGGCCCCTCACACCACCAACTCCGGTCCTCGTTCGCCCTCTTCCCGACTAACACCATACACACCTAACACCATCTGCGCCAACAACCCCACTGCAAACTCTCAGAAGCTCTTTCCGTCGACAGACTTGCGCTTCAATTTTTCGAGCTCGACACCCTGCAGCATGCGTGCATTGATACACGTCATACCGGTAAAGAAATTGGGGTCCTTGGAGCGGATCATGCACGATGCACCGCAGGTACCGCAGAAGTGGTGGCCCATTCTCTTCGTTCCAAAAGAGTAAGACTGTGAACTCACGTTAGCTGACCTAATCTTTTGCGGTATTTACTACGTTGCTAGCGACATATTCACTTACCTTGAACTGCTCGATGCTACCACTTGAGAAAACGATACACTCGTTGGGCACGTAGATAAGAAGATAACCGTTCGACACGCAGATACTGCAGTTGCATTCCACTAGAACCGCGCTGGGATCGTCAAGCGGAGGAGATGCAGTGACGGAGTACTTGAATGCGCCGCAGTGGCATGATGCATCGTAGGTCTTGGTTGGAGCGTCGGCTGGGGGCGCGCCAGGAGGACCGGAGTTGGACTTGTCAGTATCGGACATGATGTAGTAGTTGATGAAGCTTTACGATCCGAACTGGATATGAGATGGTTAAGAACAGTAGTCTGTTTATTGTGTACCTAGATACAGCAGGTGAGGTTGTTGTTTGAGAAGATATTTATTGAGATCTAGTGGCTGCTGCCTAAAGTGTCGCATTGCATCTACGTCCAAGCTGGGAAACTCCACTTCGCGTAAGAGTCGCGTCGTCATACGTAGGGCGCCCTGTTGCTAACGCGAATAGGATGTCCCTAGGTGTTGGCACACACCGACCGGCTTCTAAGTACATAGCGCCTTCCCCATGAAATCAGCTAGCTTTGGAACACTCTCCTCAGTATCAGCATACAAATCGAGATGTCCTTTTCCTTCAATGACGAAAAGTTCCTTCGGCTCCTTGGCCTTCTTGATTGCGTCCTTGCTGTAGCAAGCGGTGTCAGCTGGGCCTCCATTACCCGTGTCTGCCAAACTTCCCGTAATCATCAACAGCGGTCGCGGAGAGATCCAGTCGATGAAAGCAAAAGAATCGTATGTGGACAGCTTTTCGAAGCTCCTCACAAGCTGCAGGTTGTTACATTTGGGATGGTATCCGAGGGGAGTCGCATAGTATGACTTTGCCTCCTCGAAGACGTCCAACGTGCTGAATGCGGTAGGCTTTCCTCCCTTGGCTTCTGAGATTCGTTCTTGCGCTGCAAAACTCAGGCGCTGATGCAGTGTTTCTGGGTTGATGTTTCCAGAGTCGTCTCTCAAACTGTTGCGAGTCATACCACCCAAGCAAACGCCGACTACGGTCGCTACGGCCTTCATGCGCACATCAGTCTGTGAAGCGAAGATTGCGTAGCCTCCAGAAGCACAGATTCCAACAACTCCGATCCTTTCGGGGTCAACGTCGCCGTCAAGAGTCGAAAGGAATGTTACGGCGCTCTTGAGGTCCTCGACTCGTTGGTACGGATCTTCTAGGTAACGTGGCTCGCCTCTGCTCTCACCTTGGAAGGCTGCATCGTACGCGAGAGTGATGAAGCCATGTTCGGCTAGCTTCCTGGCATATAATCCAGACGCTTGCTCCTTGATAGCTGTACCGGGGTGGCCGACAATAAGGGCGGCATTTTTGCGGTCTGGTACGTTTGGGGAGGGTAGGTATAGATCGCCGATGACGTTGATGCCATGGCTGAGGAAGTTAACTTTGCGAACAGTGGCCATCGCAGTTGATGCGTAAGAAGGATCGGGTTGCTTGGTGGTTCGTGGAAGCAAGTTCATAAAGATACGTAAGAAACGATGGTCTTGTTCGTCTGTACGAGCTGCTCAAGGTTTCTGCTAAACGCTGAAGTAAAATGCCATGTGTTTATGTATTCTTGCCAAGAACATGTGTAGATTCATAGGGACTACGATACCGCCGCGATACTCACCATGCTCATCTTTGAGCCTGTACTTTCAGTTACCCCCCGGCTGAGGCTCCGTCAGCACTCATTCGTTCCCCAGACATTCATGTCGCATACCATGCTCAAACGTCTCTAGCATTAACGTATATTGCTAGGATGCCAGTACACGGATTTAGGGTTTAGGACTTTCTCGGCCAATGTTTCGCGCGCATTCGGTCGTATACATTCGTCCGCGCACCAATAGAAAGTTGGGCATTTTCCCCGACCTCAGCATCGCCCACTTCTTCTCTCAACCGTGAGGTGCGACATCACCTCGATAATTTCTTAACGCTGAATGATAACTTTTCATGCAATGATATAAAGGATGCGTTACAGGATCTTGCAAACCAATGGGCTGTGACTGGGAAATGCTTGAGTTTGCGATGTTGAACTGCGCCGCTGATGTTCTGGTATCAAAAGTCAACGACACCGGCCCATCATACTCACGCTGCATCATGACTCTGAACTGATGCTGGGTATGTAAGACAGTGAATACCATCAAATCTCTAACCCGCTTGAAGGCCAGCGACTGTGGCAATAGATGAAAGCTTGGAGCCGGCAACATTCGAGCACAGTCTGACGAAAACCATCATCATAGTGCGGGGCTATCAAACGACGAGAGTGGAGTTCAACATGGTGTTCGATGGCCAAGAACGAAAAGAAGTGAAGAGCACATGTACTTATCCCGGTATGATGTGTATGAGTGAATGACACGGACGTACTCCCCTCTGGTAGGGGGCGCGGGTTCTCTTCGATGATTCAGCATACAGGACAGCGGCAAGCACCGACTTACCTTCTGACAACGATCAAGGGCTGGGATAGATGAGATGACTTCACAGAAACCTAAAGGTGATCAGCGTGTAAAGTGGTTGCAGATTATCTTTTTGTTACCATAAGAGGTCCTAAACTGAAGTGGCCTGGTAATGGCGACTCATGCTCTCTCTGATCTTAGCGTACTGTAACGCCGCATACTCCGATCCAACCCTACTGTGATGTACATGATAAGCTAGACAAGCCCAGACCCTGGAGAGGTTGGCCTACCATTTCTCCAACTATAACCAATTCCCAGTTCGCTGAAAGCAAGAAAGTGCACCAAATCCCCGGGGTAGTGGCCCCAGGAAAGAAAGCAAAAGAAGGTACTGGGGATCTTACGTTTAGATGAAGATATCCAGCTCATGTCTCCTGACCTCGTCCTCCTCGAAAGTTGGGTAAGCTGGGACCATGGCGTCGGCGTTCTGAACGTAGGCATCGTTGTAGATGCGCCAGTAGGGGTTTCGCACTTTACGTGCTGGATGGAAGAGACCAGCCCAGACGTAGTTCATGACAAGCGGGGTACCGATGGCGTTGCGGACACCTTCGATGGCCTCGATGATGCGATCGATGACGTGAGGACTGGTTTCGAACAAGTTTGGCCAAAGAAGGTTGAGCAAGTGAATCATCGCGTCTTCGCAGTCGAGACCAACGCAGCCAAGAGCAACGTGCTTGACGACCGAAGCGGCAGTCTGTCGATGCACTTGATCTCGGTCAATGAGGGCATCCTCTAAAAGTGGTGTGATTGCATAAACATAGTCCTTTGCCATCTCGCCGATGTACTCGAACATGAAGGACAGTGATTTGAGGACACCGTTCTGTACGTTGAGCTCCGGTACGCGGTACTCGTTCATGAGAGCTGGTAGGACAGTGAAGGGCGCACAGGTTTCGGCGACGATACCAATGGCGACGGCAGTACAGACACGGGACTGACGCTCCTGAACTCGAAGGTTACCGAGCAAAGTGGCCAACACATCCTGGGGACCGATGGCTTTGGCGATATAACCGAAGGTATTGTTGGCAGCACGACGAATACCCTTCTTGTGAGCCTTGAGCATGTCCAAGAGTTCGAAGCAGATACGCATCCACTCACGAGGGTTGACGTAGTTTGCACCTCGATCAGCAATACGTCCTACCAGATCGATGGTGTTCTCCTGTACCTTCTCGTGTCGGTTACGAAGGATGGGTGTAAGGCGGGGCAACAGATCCTTGATAGGCGGTTGCATGGCGTGGAGACCGACGACTGTGACGATAGCACGAAGAGCACCGAGGATGGAACCAAGAACCTCAGGGTACTCCTCACCAAGGTATTCGTACAACGCCTGCGCAAGCTTAATGAGCTGCGGGTCCTCGTCGCACTTCTGCATCACGAAGGTGATTCGCGAGATGAGATCTGCTGCTTGCTGACGGACTGTTGCGGATTTGTTGTTGAGCCTAGCAAGAACTGTTGCGACGATCTGCGGGAGATAGGTCTTGGTACGCTCACCCAGTGCGTTGACGACCGTAGCAAAACCGTCGATGACAATGGGGTCCTCGATAGTCTGGTCCTGGAACGCAACAAGCACACCGTCAATTAGCTGTTCTTCCAAACGCTGGTCAACGTCATGCGCTCCTAGTGTGCTGATAACCTTGTCGACAGTCTCGACAGTCATCTTGCGGTATGCTTCGTTCTCGTCCTTCATGTTGTTAACAATCCTGCCGACGATCTCAGCAACACCGGCTTTCTGCGCCAGGTCTACGGTCGTGTCCACCACCTGTCGGTAGTTGCGCTTGTCAAGAGCCATGCGGCGGACCCAGAAGTGCTTGAAGAACTCAGGCAAAACGTTATCCTTGAGGTAGACTGGGGTTACTCCTGCGGTGTTCGAGCACTGAGAAACGACCTTGAGCACGACCTTCTTCATCTCTTCATCGGGTGATTGAAACTCGCGAATGACGATCTCCATGATCTGACTGGTATAGTAGTTGGAGTACTCCTCGTCCATGAGCGGGATGACATAACCGACCGCCTTCAGGAAGGATGCAAGAGCTTTACCACGTTGGCGACGGGCTCCGGTCCAGAGAGGGTTCAAGATATCGTCGAATGACTCGATACCGTACGGGCTCGCGGCTTCAGCTAAAGCTGCAAGAGCAAGAGCTGTGACCATGCGGACCTTTGGCTGTTCGTCATTCAGATTGTCGCCGATACACTCGACAAGTCCCTTGAGGTGAGGAAGAATAGCACAACCCATAAGGATAGGAATCTGCTGAACAATCTTCACACCGGTATGACGTGCGTGCCACGACTTCTTGGATCGACATACAGCGCGGAGGAATGGAAGGAGGGCGGGGATACCGAGGGCAGATGCGACGACGGCGAAGGCTCTAGCGGTGGTGTTTCGGACGTATTCGTCTTGGTGGTCTAAATCAGGACGCATCGTACTGATCATGTGTGCGAGACCAGCGGCCTTTGCAAGGTTAGAAATAATCTCTCGACCTTCGACACGGGCGTAGTAGTCTTGGTCGATAAGGAGAGGCTCAATGACAACGAGGATCTTGTGTACGTAGGGCCGAACGAGGTCGTCGAGCTTGTAGAGGACACGATCGATGACTTTGACGAGCAAATGTCGCTCCTGATCCTCCAACGTGCGCTCCATGAGCAGGGGCAAGATCTGGTTGAAAAGGGCTCCAGCACCGAACTGCCGAGCGTTGTCGGTAAGCTGTCGAAGCGCGGTCTTTCGCATGGGTGGTGTTCCGTTCTTGACCTTGAGCAAGAGTCGCATGATTTTGCGCTCCTTGAGTTCC